CTCCTCCCCCCCCCCTCCTTCTCCTCGCCCTCCTCGCGAAGCAACGACTCGCGAGTAATTTAAGAGCGTGTCGCGTTGTCGCAGCGGCTCCTCGTTGCTGTACTTACCTCGTAGGTACCTGCGGCACTCGGCGACGAGCACGGCGCCTCTAATTTAACGCGTACACGCGCGCACGCGCGCACCGGAAGGTGTGGTATCAGCCCGCGCTTTTATCGCTGACGAGATCGGCGATCGTGCGGGACACCTAGTCCGCGCGTTACAAGACGATAACGATGATTCGGTGCCGACCGCGTGTCGCGGATTGAGACTTTGTACTCGGCCCCGCGCCGATCACCCGCCGAGGCGTTATTCGCCGAGACGCGATGCATTATTCATGATATTACCGCGGTGTTAAGCGCACATACTCGAGGTGCTCCCCGCGGGGAAACCGAATTCGCGCGGTTTCGTTCTTCGCTACGGAACACGCCGGAGCTTCCTTCTGCTCTCCCGTCACACCAGATCGAAAGGACAATTCATCCGGTACTTTTGCCTCGGGGGTTGATATTCGTGCTTTTAAAAATTACTTCTTCAATTAATCCATTATATATTTAATTATATAAATAATAAATATAACAAGTAACTTATATGTAATTAATTATTCACATTGACGGAGAAGATAATAGTAAATTCGCGGACCATTATCCTGTAGCTGTTTGGACGAATACTTTTCTAATGAAATAAGTACGGATTAAAGAATGATCAAAATTCATGCTGGAAGCTGGAATAACTCGCGAAAAAACTCCAATAGAAGGTTCATGCACGTTTTGAACAGTTATCGGACAGTTTATTCATTTCTGTCTAACAACTGAGGAGTGAACCTACTTCGGGATCGCAATCACGACGTTAACGCTTTTCCTGCGGTTACGCGCACAAAAGCTGCGCAAAATCCGAGCCCACTTACTGGATGAAAACAGAAGAATAAATGAACGGAAAAACTATTCAATTGATTGAATAAGCAAGTTTTGCCTTAAAAATACCGCTGAATGAAGCTCTATCAAGTTTTTGTTCATTTCCCACGCAGTATTGTTGCAACTAATGAAAATGCATTAATATCAGACGGTAACTGGACGGGCGTCTAGAAAAACTGCAAACATTTCTACCGGGCAGTAACGAGCTACGTATATACCGGCTTCGAATTAATTATCTGATACGCACTCGCGAAAGCGGGCGCGGCTTTTACTGCCGCGACTGTACCGCGACTCCGCGCGTAACCACGCAATACCGTTCTCCGCGCAGTTACGCATATTCTCCGCGCACACCATGTGGAGTTATATTTATCTAATTCTAATACCGCCCGTTCGCCCTACGCGAAGCGAGCGGGCGATGCGGAGAGGAGGGGGGGGGTGACCCCTCTCGAAAGAAGATGCACTTGTTCCCGAAAGCGAGAGTTAAGGGGGCGCGGGGCGCAGGACGGCGCCAGAGTTTCCCAGTGTGTCACGCGTCTTCTTCTGCGTGCGCGCCGACGCCTTCGACGAAGACGACGACGACGAGGAGGAGGAGAAGAAGAAGAAGACGACGACGACGACGAACGACGCGGCCACTGCGCAGTTTCGCGGTTGGAACGCGGCCGTGTCGTCTTGCAGATACGCACGTTTACGCGCGTGCAGCAGGTTCGGCTCCGGGGAAGTACGCGTGTTAGGTACTTTGAACCCTGGACCGGCCTCGTCGCCGTCGTCTTTGTCACAGGCGACTGAGCCAGTGGTTTCTCCGCAGGGGGTAAGTGCGGATTTGACGCATAGCTCTCGCGGCTCGTTATAAATAGAGGCGGATTTCGCGCGGGTTGCGAATTCGGAAGCTCGCTCGCTCGCTCACGTCGCAACGTCGCGGTCATTACTAACTCGTAGCTTGATTCTAACGATCGCGCGCGAACGAGTGACTTACGCGTTCGTATAAAGTAAGCAGAATATCACGATGTGAAATAGCGATGGGAATAAAGACGTTCCATTCGACGTGGAACCTTCCTCTATTTAAACCGCGCGACCTCCGCGCGAGCGAGTCGTCATCGAGAAATTCGCGGCCCGGATGCATCGATTCGATCGTCACCGAGGATGTAAATTCGGCCTTTCGACGGCACGAGGACGAACACGTGGACCTTAAAGACGCTCGGCGCGTTTTAACACGCCGCGCAATAAGATAAATTAATCGGCTGGCAGGCAGAGCATATTTCTTTTCGGCCGTCCAGCCGAGAGGAACGCGCGGAGGCGCCAGCCGTCCAGACACGACTCTATGTTTTCCCGGCCCATATCGCGCCGCGTGTGTTTTCGTAACCCGGAATCTCGCGCGGGTCATCGGTTTTGGTTTACTGTCGTGCCGCGCGGAAGAGAGGAGCCGAGAAGAGGCGTATGTTCAGCGGCTGAAAAACGGCACGAAACACGTGCTGCCGCTCTCAAATGCCTTTTTCCATGCGCCCGGTATATTATACGAGCCTGTGGGCGGTGGCAGAATTTTTCCTACCGAATATACACCACGCTCGAACGCCGTCGCCGGCGGCGGAATTTTTCTTACGGCCGCGAACCTCTCGAATTTATCTCTCTCTCGCTCTTTTCTTGTGCTTACAGTTATATATATATATATATACACACAGCGAAGTTTCAATGAAGCTGTAGTATTTATTAGAATGAAACTCACTAGTCTAAGGACGGGTATATACTGAGCGAACGCGCAATGAACAGCGAATGTACAATATGAATATCTATATTCGTGTCTAATTGCGCACGCACTTTCTTTGATAAACCACCTTACGAGCAACTAAGCCCGAAATGTTCTACTCGGCCTCGTTAGAATGTAATCATGAAATATTTGGATACTACAGATTATCTTGGATTTTCTTCGCTTACGGGAACCATCTCTTTAGTGTACGTGAATTATATAAAAACAAAATCATAGTTGATAGAGAAATAATATTTATTATGTCAGAATTTTGCAAAACAGGGAGGATATGTGACTATTGCTAAATGTATGATAGAATCGTAGATACATAAATAAATAAATTAAATCAGATATATAGAAGCAAACACTTATCTACGTTGTCTAATCGTAGGCAAATTTCAAGGGCGTCGAAATAGTATGCGAGTAGCACAGAGCGGATCCCTCGAGCGGATCGATAATTATCGAGTGCTCCGTGTAAATTCGCAAACTGCCCTCCCCGCCCGGCGGGGATGCGCACGCTACGAGAAGTTACGGGGCGCAACGACAGATGGGCGCCGGGTCCTCGAGAAGTCGTAAATCGCGCATTGTTCACCGTCCCTCGTCATCGAATACATCGCGAATCGTCCCGCGTTGATCGATGAAACGACGCGGGACGATCCTCGGAAATCCTCGTCGGAGATTCACGCACCGCGGCGATCGACGTGCTCGATCGCCGTGTTCTCGTCCGGCCCCAGAAATTCGTGCTCTCGTGGCCCTCGAGAAACGAACGGTGGTAAACGCACGCACGTCGCGGCCCCTCTCTCTCTTTTACCGTCAATCCCTCAGCTGTCGCACTTCTGAATTTTACCTGCTGCACTGCATTTTAAGTGGAAGTCTTAAGTATTTGTTTTCCTACATTTTTGTTCTTTTCCTTGCTAAATTTATCATTTTCTTAACTACGACTTTACACATATGTTATAAATTGTCTTGCATTCTGCGATATAAAAATATAAACGCACACATCCACCCTAGAAGTTTCCTTATCTTCTTCACATGCTTCTTCTTTCGTTTAGTCTGCTAAATATTAATGAAAACTGTATATTACTGTATTATTAATTTCTAAACCGTAAAGTTCTTCGAGGACATGCTAGGAAAAAAATTAACGCTTCTCTCCCTCCCTCTCTCTCTTTCGCGAACTTTGAACAGGCTTAATCGGCACGCAGCCGTGCATTGTGCGCGCACAATCGGCCGTGCGTTCTCGAGAGATGAACGCGCGCGCGCGATGAAAAAGCCCTCGACTATCGGCCCCGATTATCTTCCCTGTCCATCTAATGTCTTTCTCTTCGCTTCACTCTCACAATGTGGTCGTTAAACGCAATGAAATAGCGCGCACGCAGCGGCCTTCTTTCCGCGGGAAAGACGCATCCTCACGCGTTGGATGAATCGCGCGCGACGCCGCGTCTCTCGGAATACGCCGCCCGCGCGTGATTCGCGCGGAAATACACTTCCCGCGGTTGAAGGATACGAGTATGCGTACATATACATGTACCTGTGAGCATTTCCTGCAAAGATTGTCGCCCACTCGGATCTTAAATCTCGTCCGGCCGCCGAGATAGAAATCGGAAAGAACAGCTCACTCGCGTCTTAGAAGCGTCATAAATAATCCCATCGGTATGGGGCGACCATCTCTATCTCTCTCTCTCTCTCTCTCTCTCTTTTCTATCTATCTCTTTCTCGGAATACATTAAAAGATGAAAGCTCGCAGGAGTGTATTAAGCGCGAAGAATGGCGAGGCTTTGTCTCATTGAAAGTTCAGCGATCGATCTCGCTGCGTCAACCGGAGGGGATCGCGCCTCCTCAACCCTTCGACGACAGGGCTGCTCTTCTCAGGCATACTATTAAAGCGGTATTAAGCTCGTTCCAGTGACTTCACCGTTGAGGAGACGGGAGCGCGGGCTGACCCCGCGCTGACCCTGGCCGGCCATCGTTTTTCAATCACTCTCGCGACAGTTTCCCTAATTGTTTCTAATTAGCAGCTCGGTCATTAATATAATCACCTTATATATAACTCGCGCATAACGATCAACTTCGAGCGGTGGGCCCATTAATCTATCGTGGACATCGCGCGCGGTAGGCTCGCGCCCGGTGGAATTTGTAAAACGAGCAAGCCGAGTCGGACGAGTCGCCGGCAGCGCGGCAAGCCGCTTCGCCGTCTCTGTTAATATCGCTGATAATATGTCATCCGAACGGCCCGTAGAATCTCGTCTCGCGCTCTTATCCGCGCGTCTTATCCCGTTATCGAATAATCGCGCCAGGCTTCGGCGCGGCGGCGGTAATAAATACATTGCGGTCTCTTCGCGAAACTTAACGAGGCTCGCATAGTGCGCGCGAGCGAGCGCGTCTCGCGGTTTCGAAACGACCGAGCTAAAGACTTCGTAACGATCGCGCTCGCGATAAGGAGAAGCGGCGGCGGCAAATTTATGGCGGAGAGGTGGAAAATATATAATTGCGCGGACAAGGCGGAATCTCTATCTCTCTCTCTCTCTCTCTCGATGTTACGGATGATCAGTGTGCGGTTGGTTTTACCAGCGCGACGATGACTCCTCTTATGATATCGCGTGCGTTTCAGCCTGAGCCAGCCGCCGGCCGTTATCGTACGGCGACTGTAAAATAAGATAATTCTCCGTCTGAGGAAACGTCGTCGTCGACGACGGACAACGTACAATTTAACAGCGCCAACTGCATAATTTGGTTGGCTCTCTTTCTTTCTCGATTTCTCTCTAACTCTCTTTTTCTTTCCCTCTCCGTCTCCCTTTCTCGTTTTAATGCACTCACCGACGGTAATCTCAAGCTAGTGGAAGTAGTTTCTCAGGCCGCGTAGGGAAGAGCCTACAGGTAGTGCCGTTGGAGATCTGTACCAAGTATCCCGGTGGATATCCTTCGAGAAAAGGATCGTCCCCGGCTCGGTCGAACCGCAACAATAAGATTTCCTCTCTTTCTCGGCCGAGTGTGCGCGTGCACTCCTCGCCGGGACGTGATTTTCTGCGTTTCTTGTTGACGGTTTATCCCGCATTCGTCCGACCGGTCGCGGCCCTCCCCCACGAGCGCGAGATCCGAATGAATAACTTGAATGGCATCCTACATCGGAAGGACTGCCCTTTCTTTCGGTCTTTTCACGAGACATCCTACGGAGAAGCGGGCACAGGGAGAGAGGTGGGGTGGTGCCTTGAATGGCCCATCTCAAGGGTCTTGAGTTTCAATGCATCGTCCGATCCCGAGGCCAGAAACGAACGAACAAGGGGGAAGCGAAGACGGGACGGGGGGAGGAGAGGAAGGAGGAATAAAAAAATCAAGCGAAAGGCCGGAGACTGACAGGCCCGTCGGGGATTTGTCAGCCGAGATATGATTTCGCTCGCTCGCGCCGCCAATTTCGATGCGCGCCCGCGAAAACTCGCGCGCGTTCTCGCGCGATGTACTCGAGAGACAAAAGTTCGACCCAGATGCCAGCCGAGCTTTCTACTCGGCGACTTCGTCGCTCTCGGATTTGTTTAAAAATGTCGCGATGATTGGATTCTGGAAACTTTGCTGAGAGAAATTATAGTTATATTCGCCCTCAACTATTCTTCCATGTCGATCGAGAACGTCTCGGAGGACGTTGATTTTCATCGATAATTCGCGAAATGTAAGATTGCTAATTTTAACGTCTCATACAAAACGTATTGGATAATTGTTTAATAATTGTCACGTATTATCTGAATTAGCAGGTACTCGTATTTTCCAACGTATTTCTCCGACGAATCGATATTTCGTTAGTGTCGCGCTGGATACGGCAAGAAGCCGCGGTTTAATTATCTGCGAGATGTCCCCCCACGATTCGAGGGGACTCTCGTAATGGCGCCTACGATGTCAATGTCCGTGACGTCGTTGCAGGCCGCGTTTTCGAGGCGGTGGCGCATTTAGCCTCGCAAGAGGAGCAAAAAGGCCTACGTTTACGTACGCGCGCACACACGCACGATGGCAGCGGGCTTTAGGGAGCGCTCGGTTATGGGTTTACGCGGTGTGTACGACACAACGATGAACGTAATTTT